TCATAAATTGTTGAAGTGCAGACACACACTTCATATTGTAGAAAAACGTTTCTCTGGAATTTTTGATGCAAATCCTGGTTATTTTTTCTAAGAAGGGAAAGTAAGGAGAGTGCCATTTATAAAGCTTAGGTTTTGCTAGATTTGCAGGTTTTTCGCGCTCGCATTTTACGTGCTTCTTAAGAATCTCTGGAAATAAAATGGGAACTTTCCATGACTTGTTGCCAATCTAATTGGAGAAAAAAATTTATTCTTTATAGGGATACTTGCGGGAGGTAACCGTCGAGCAATCTTCTTGTATCTGCCTCGTCCCATCCTGTTTGTTATTTTATTAAAACGTGTTTGGAAATTATTTCCCTCATTGCAAGGTTTGATTTGAGATGATAGATGTCAATCAGACCTTTTAATATGGCATCCTGAGCTGTTGGTGCCAGCAGCTTCATTTCCTATTATACCTGTATATCCTCATAATGGAATTTAGGCTAATAAGAGGAATATTCATTTCCATATTTATTGTTTTTAAAAGATTTTGAATACGTAAAGATATTTTCTTCGTGGAACATTGAGTGTTTAAAAATCTTTGACAATCTGTAAAAATGCTCGCAAACTGTAACTTACTACTTTTGACAAAAAACGTATAAGTAATCATTTATTAAATTAATGAATTCAAACATATGAACATATATATTTAATAAAATAAAAATATTTCAGCGCAAATAATTATCGACGTATATTTGAAGAAGAAGAAGGAGAAGCAGGATTATACTTCAGCGATCAACTACTAGAAGAATTGGATCCCCAATGTTTAAGATTGCAATACGTGTCGGAAACGTAAGTCTTTTCGGAAAAAATAATAAAACAAAACATAATGTTTCAGGTCCAGTTTAATTATACCTTTAATAATTTTTTGACAAAAACGCTGGTCTGGAAAATAATACGTTTTCAGATTTATAATGCTTAATGTTTTTTTCATTCCTTCATTACAAAAATAGATTATAAATGTTTAAGATGGAAAATCCTATTGTGAAGAATTCAAATTTATTGTCATACCTTTTGATTATGAGGAAACGTTATTGCATTAACTAATGAAATATCTAAACAGAAAGCTAATATACAAAATACACGTGTTTAAACGGCCAGTTTGTAAAATTTGTGAATGAGAAGTAAATGTCAAATAGTTGATATAATTAGAGTAACAAAGACAAAAAAGACTTTATGTTTATAAATAATATGCATATATATATATATATGTATGTAAACAAATTAAGTAAACACTGAAATCCATCCTATACTCTATTCGGAACAAATCTAATATAAATTGTTCTCTTCATCTGTTTCTGTTAGACTATATATTTCTAGATTTACAGAGATTTAGAATATTATTTAGCTCGAGTTTTGAGAATGTACTCATCAAACATAATAAAAATTTCCAGATTCCAACTTTTCATTGTAATTATTTTTTTAATATATAATATTAAATAATTTTGAATTAATAGAAAATTAAAAAATAAAAATTAATTAATTAAAATATATTTATGTAGATATATATATCCCCATCACATGATTTACATAAAGATGATGACTTAGCTAAGTGGGAATTTAAATTTCCTGAATCAAATATTTCTCTTACTAAGCCACAATATTGTCGAACTATGCACATTTTTTTTTCTATCTCTGTCACCGCTGACACGACACGACGTCGTGCTACTTTCTTCTTCCTATTCCAACAATATGAGAAATATAAATATTCTAGAAATAGGTAGGTTTAGAATTTCAAATGAATTGGAGCCGCAAATATGAATTGAAATAAATCTGAATATTTTATCTTATTCATCTGCCAAATTTGCTCTGTATTATAGATCAATATGTGCGATCAGAATTCCTAACATTAATTCACACACACACACATATACATATATATCTATATATATACGTTTATCGTATATATGTTATGGTGAAACGCCGAAATCTGGAGAATGTCGACTTTCACCGGTGAATGTCAACATTCACATAGTCGCTTGTTGTATGTCCGAAATATTTTCCAAATACTCTTATTTCTGACTGACTTACACCGGTAAATGTCACATTCACCATCTACTAATGGTGAATGTTGAACACATAAGAATATTATATTTTTTCTCCGTAATTCGGTCACGAAAAAACGCACTTAAATTAAATAAGAACTTAAGAATATAAGAACTTAAAACACACTGTACATTCAAAATGAGAAAGGAAAATAATAGAAGTTTAAAACTTACTAAATTACGTGATTCAAATCTTATTTATTGCAAAAACTTAAACTCTTATGACACTTTCAATTGCACAAGAGGCCCTTGCTTTTACAACAGCATTTATTTGTGGAACACTTCCTTTTGCAATGACAGCGTGTACATATACTCCTCTCTTTTCAACCTACACCAGAGCACATCCGTGAGTGTCGACATACACCGGTGAGGGTCCGAATGTACAAGAATGTAATGCAATATTCGATCTTTCACCGACGTATTTGGTGAATGTTGACATTCTCCGGTGAAAGTCGACATTCTCCAATTTCGGTCTTTCACGGTAACATATTTAAACGAGAGACAACACAAGAAAAATAGGGTACGAACAGTGTAAAGATATTTGTTTATTATTCTTAGCGCAGCGGAAACTAAGAAATAAGAACAAAAACATTGGATCGTCATCAAAGAAAGTATTCGAAAGTTCCTTCGGAAAGTATCCTAAACATGGGTTTGGTAGGGGTAGTCCAGTGCATTGTTCAGCAAGATCACGAGACCCCTCACTTGCATTATCACTTCCTCTCGGGGTACGTCAACACATTAGTGCACGAAACCCCTGTTAGAAGTCACACAGGAACTTGTGGCACATATCGTGGCAGCTGCTGGGAAAGTCCTGGGAATGCACGGTATTTTCCAGAACATCTTATGTTCGATGTGCGAGAGATGTGATACCTGCATCAGGGTGCAGGTCGTAATTTCGAACACCTTCTTTGAGGTCCATAAGTGTCTAATTTTGTTCCTATTTTTTAATTTCTCTTGTGCTAAGCATAACTGGTGTCCGTTCTTTCTTGTGTTTTGTGTTGTTTGTACCGGCCAGGAAAGTGTTTTCGGCCATGTTTTGCCATTTCATTTTTCGTCGATCGTCGTCTCTCTCATATATGTGCATAATTACTTATGACTCAAGTGTTGCTACTATATGATGAAATTTACAAACACGGTGTTTAAAATGCTACATATTCCCATCCGAAAATATCTTTTTTTTTCCTCTTGCCCTTCAAATAAGAAATGTGTGTCCTTCATTAGAAAAATCTCCTGGAACTTTAATTCTTCTTTTTTTAAAGACTATGGAGAAAATATTTCAGTATAGGCAGCTGTCAATATTCAAACATTACATTTTAAAAACCATTAAAGTGTAGCCGAAACGCTCCGAAAGGCTTAATTCGCATAAGGATTTAGGAAATACATTCTGAAAAACTTAGCAAATTTTCCTTCAATAAATTTAATGGAACAGGCAAAAGAAATTACAGGGAACAATAAATATAGGAGAAAACAGATATTTCTTTTCCTAATTTGTTTTGCTTTGTTTGATTTCTTTCTTTCTTCCTGTATAAATAATTAAAACTTTAAGAATGCAACTGAAGAATGAGAATAAAATTTTCAATTGAAAACAAATGGTGGCAAAAATCCTAGTGCTGCTCTGCTGGACGACGAAATAGACCAGCAATATGTTCCGAATTTGGAATAACGAGAGAAAATTTGAAACCTGTGCAGCCAGCGATGCAAAGAGATTGATCTGAGAGAAAGATGACTTAAATGAGGAAACTCGGAGATAATTTAATGATGTGTAAGGTTACCTCTACTGGGATAATAATAAGAAAAGGTTAAAATACAAAATACGTAAGTAAATTATACAAAAATTGAAGAAATTTAAAATATCTGGCATGCGTAAGAAATAGTAATTGATTCAAAAAATAAATGAATCTAAAGCTCTCAAACTTATACTCGTTTAAATACAGGTTTTGCTGATTCAGAAAGAACGTTACGTGTATATCTTCTAAAATGCTTTTTCCATCCTTTGTTTGTAGTTGTTTCATTTTTCATTTCAGTTTCATTTTTTCCTCCTATTTTGCAATTTTCGCCATTGTTTCCCTCTGTTTTAAGCCACCTGTTTATTATTACTATTATTATTATTACAACTTATGTAAAAATTAAGTAAGGAAAAGTAAGGCACTGAAACTTTGCAAATTATTACGCTCTACGTGAGATTCATGGTGGTCGCTTATTGCATACAAATCACGCCAAATGCTTTAACTTCTTCTGCTTGGCTTTAGGTCAGAAGAACAAAAGCAACAAATTCGCCCTTTGTAGAAAAACATTCTGTCAGGCAATAAATCTACGGGGAGATTTTTCCCTATGAAACTGAGCCAAAAGTGTTATATAGTATCTAAATATGGAAGTGTTGTACATGTTAAACGTGATCGTCGTTGCATTACTTTCACTTTTTTACTACTGAAATAAAGATATACTGATTATTTTGTAGATTGGAAAACCCTCCTTGTGATCATGAAAAGGAGCAAAAACTGGAAAACGAGAAAGAACTAGAAAAGAAGCGAGAACCGGAAAAGATGCAAGAAACTGGAAAAGAATCAAGAACTGAATAAAAAGGAAGAACAGGAAAAGAAGGAGAAACTGGAAAAGAAGCAAGAACTGAAAAACAAGAAAAAACTGGAATTGACACAAAAACTAGAAAAGAAGCAAGAACTGAAAAAGAAGCAAAAGCTGGAAAAGATACAAAAACTAGAAAAGAAGCAAGAACAAAAAGATACAAGAATTGGAAAAAAAGCAAAAGCTGGAAAAGATACAAAAACTAGAAAAGAAGCAAGAAGAAAGAACAAGAAGAAAAGAAGCAAGAACTGAAAATGAAACAAGAGCAGAAAAAGAAGCAAAAACTGGAAAAGAAGGAAGAACTGAAAAACAAACAAAAACTGGAAAAGCAACAGAAACTAGAAAAGAAGCAAGAACTGAAAAAGAAGCAAACACTGGAATGGATTCAAAAACTAGAAAAGAAAGAAGAACTGAAAATGGAGAAACAACTGAAAGAGATACAAAAACTAGTAAACAAAGAAGAACTGAAAAGGCAGAAGAAACTGGAAAAAATGCAAAAACTAAAAAACAAAGAAGAACTGAAAAAGAAGAAGAAACTGGAAAAAATGCAAAAAACAACAAACAAAGAAGAACTGAAAAAGAAGAAGAAACTGGAAAAAATGCAAAAACTGGAAAAGAAGCAAGAGCCGGAAAAGATGCCAGAACTGGAAAATATAGACGAGTCAGAAAAGACGCAATACCTGGAAAAGAAGCAAAAAACGGAAAAGAATCCTAATCTGAAAAACAAGCTGGAACCGGAAAAGAACTGTCAAACCCGAAAAGGAAACCGGATGAACTGCGAAAAGAGCCAGAACTCGATAACGACTGTAGAACGATTGATTTAATGACCAAACGAAGCAAGACCCGGAAAAGAAAAATAGAACAAATAAATCATACACCTGCTTCATTTTACCAAAATTTATTATCAATAACATTTTTATTATGAAGAACTTTATGGTATTCTTAGTATATGGACAGCATTTGATAATATTTTGCTCGGTAAGTGTAACTACTGATATATTATTAGCTAGTAATTAGTCATGCTAACTTTAAGATATCAGCATTATTTTAGCAGCAACTAAGTACACTCTTTCGTAGTTCAGATCTATGTTTTCAGTGCCTTTCATGGCTGCGAGGTCTTCCGGTTTTACCTGGAAAGTCACAGTTTATTGACTTTTTTAACACATAGTCACATGACAGTATTTTTCAACAATAAATTTATGTTATGCTACTGGCTTTAAATTGTGCAAATAAATATTGCACGTCATATCTTTCATAATTGAACTCATGAAATTAATTTATACAGATTTCATTTTAAAATTTGTTTGACCCTGAGCTGTCTTATCCAACTGCAGATATTTATAGGACTTTATATCAAGATTCAAAGAAACGCTCAAAAAGGAATGTTTATCCGCTTTTAATTATGTGTTAATCAGCTTGAGTTGCATTACTAAGATTGTAATTCTAAACAAATTAAAAGCTATTGTAGTATGTACATTAGCTTTTAATTTGCTTTCACCTTGTTTAAATGTAGTTTGACATACCACAGTTTCCGTTTCTACTCAGGATTTTTCTAGTGTAAAAATTCAAGATTACAAATTAAAATGAGCGAAAAAATAACTTTTAAAATGTGTGTATACATTAAATCAGAATCATAATATAATTAGAGAAAAAAACTGAATAATATATTATAAAGCGAATTTATATCAATTTCGATTTCTTTCAAAATAGAGATTCCTTCGCACCTCACAAATCTCACAGAAACTCTCGGTTTGTGATTCGTGAGTTTTTTTACTATGCAAATAGGTAAGAATCAGCAAGAAATAAGCAAAAAATTGCTTTTGAAAGTATTATAACAAGGAAAGAGCAAAAAAAGCTTAGTTATATATTAAAAATGGTTTTTTTCCGGGCAAAACAACAAAAAAAAACTATTTAAAAAAACCAATATTACATGGTTGGTATGATCGTTAATACATTGTATGTCTCCCAGACGATGCAATACAGTCCGTACAACGCCTAGGCATGCTGAGTATCAAATTATCGATCTGATCTTGGGGGATATTACACCACTCAAAAAGCAATGCTCTCGAAGTTCCGGTAGACATGTAGGAGGAGGTTGACGGGCTGCAACTCGTCGGCCAAGCATGTTCCCACACGTGCTCTACTGGATTCAAGTCCGGTGAGAATGCTCGCCAGTCTATACGGGTGATATCCTATGATTGAAGGCATTCGCTGACGATGTTTGCACTGTGAGGATGGGCGTTGTCATCCATAAACACAAATTGTGCGCCCATGGCGCCCCGAAACAAACGTACATGTTGTTCCAGAATGATCGTCCCGATAGATTTGGCTTGTCATGGTTCCAATTTGAACATGCAGGTCAGTTCTGGAACCCAGAATAATTCCACCCCAAACGAGCACTCCTGCACCACCGTAACGGTGTCGTTCAATGATGTTTTCTTGGTGGTAACGGGTACCTGGAGCTCTCCATATGAAAGTCCGGCGAGAATCAGACTGCAAGCTAAACCTAGACTCGTCGGAAAACATCACACAAGCCCACTGTTGCGGTGTCCACAATGCATGCTCTCTACTCCAGGCTAACCGCAGGCGACAGTGAGTTGCAGTAAGTGG